TCCGGATATGCAATGAAATGAAAACTACCGCAGCAGCATATTACCATATTATTCGGTGGGAAGGGCGAGATGTTTTAAGAGACTTATACTGCGTTAATATTATTTTTCTTTGATATCTATAAAAATAATGTTCTTAGCAAATAGAAACATCCTCAATTCACCGTAAAACCTTCGTCAGCTTGCTTTTTTTACGATACCAAGTGAGGGGATGAACAAGTCACGCCTGGTAAGCGACACGCCTGTCCATAGCAGTGTGCCACTCAGAGCTTTAAATCGCCCATCACTCTGAGACAAAAGCTGACAAGTCCATGTCCTTATAGTTTTACTAGCATCCTTACCCTTTAGGGCGGTTACACGCGCGCGATTTTAAGTAGCGATGCAAGCGCGCGACTGAATCGAAACAAACGCGCGATTGCATCGTTACACTGTCGATTTATAGGCGATCGCATTGATGCACGCCGTGTGTAACCACTCTTAAAATCGCAACGCAATAGTGTCCACATTACCGCTTGACGGCAGAAGTAACTACCTTATATAAGTAAGACAAGAATTAGGAACGAAAGAAAGAGAGAATAGAAAGAGAAAGGTAAGATAAAACAGCATCATAACTGTATTAACAAATATTAATGCTTATTGCGTGTTATGCCCATATTTTGGTTGCGATTGTTAAAATAAAACAAACGAAATCAACAAATGAAAGAAATTTATTGTATACAGGTTTTAAATATCCTCGCACACTGTCACACCTGCCTAACCAGCCACTTCATTATGATATTTAACGTAAGATATAAAGATCTTATAGATATAGGACATTACATATGAAAAAATTTCACCTCAAACGATGCTACGTAAGTTACAATATACGTAAGAACAAATTACTACAAACATTTTTTCTACAATTCCACTTTTTCAATTTCTTTTTTTTAAGTCGCCTAGCGACCGTTTCTGGACGATATAAAAAATGTCAGTCGAACTTTGCCTTTTTCTATTATTTTCCCCACACTAAAAATTTGACTAGAATTTTTAATACAATTTAATGTTAAGCCGATAAATTCTTTTGCCAATGTTGTTTTTTTACGCTTCGCAACAAAATGTTTAGTGAAAGAACAAATAAATCTATAAAACATCCATTTTCTTACTGAGGAAGTGAAAATATAATATATTTTTTTATTTAATTAAAAAATAATTATTGAGTCGCTTAAATTAACGCGAAATCTATTTATCTGTAATGAAAATTAAACAATAATAATAAAAACTAAAGGAACAAAATAACAAAAATATAGAGGCGAGTAAAGGTATATTGAAAAAAAAAATATTTCATTAAAACTTGTACTCAATAATTAAATAACAATATTATAATTTGATCTTGTTAGCTCCTTTAGCAGTTTTTTTTAAATATTAGTAACAAAACATGAGCTTTTCAGGAATAAAAAGTGTTCTCAATGTAATTGGTCCATTGCGGCTTACATTAAATTTCGAAAACAAAAATTCCGATATCGCAACGCAAAGAATACATTCTTAAAAAAAAGAAATGCTCCTCAGCTAAGTGATGTGATTTTTATAAGCGTTTTTTAAAATAAATATACCATGAAAATAGATCGAATTTAACTCTACATCGTTTCCATATATAAAATTAATATTTAATACGTCTAAAATTAAATGCTTCATGTTGTACATATTTTTAACGAATGCTGAACACTTTAAACTGCTAGCACATTCTTTTCCGTTCCACCATAATTCTAAATGACAATAATAATAATAAGTCAATTATTGTAATAATAGTACAATAATCATTGTTTAAAAATTAATCATCTAGACATACATACAGTTTAAATTGTAAGGAAAACAATTAGTGACAATAAAGATAAGACTTACATTTATAGCAACACGTTTTGGCCGTTCTACAATTACAGATACAGTCGTTCATTTCTTATATATTGTTTATTATATTTTGGAGATTTATGTACTCAGTATGAAGATGTGGCTATGTGCTTACTATGAGTGTATCTATAATTGAAAAATTACCATTATATACAAAGGTACAGTCACACAAACAAACAACATGTGTTAACGCGACAGACGCTCAGAAATAAGATTCTGGCTGTCTTTTACTAGTCTCTTTCAAACGAAATCACCGTATAAAATATGGCTCTTTTTAAATTCGATTCTCGAATTCCAGAATTCGAAAGTCGAATTTAAAAACGCCAGTGAATTTCGCCCGGAAACGTGTTACAAAAATTCACAGTATTCGTGGAATCTTAAAAGTTTAATGATTTTTAATTAAAAATGCAACTTCTTCCCTTCATTGTCTTTTTGTTCCTGGAGCAGTCGAGGACTGTTCAAGACTCTAACCTAACCCTTACGGAGAATTTATTACATGTACGAAAAAAAAATTAACAAAATATTAAAGAATTACTACCGGCTACCTATTAATTGAAAATTACACTACAGTATTAACTAAAATACTTAAACTATGTGGAAAAATGATTGAACAATATACAATAAAAATGATTCACTATAAAACCAGTGATCTCTTCAGTTCCGATGTATAAAAAAGCATTTTATATTTTTTTTCGCTTTTCGGTGCAACTATTGAAATGAGGTATTTGAGCAAAAGGCAGTTACACTACCGTTTTGTTGTTTAGTTCGATACTTTGGTCTTTTTTAAGCGTACGACTTTACACTAGCCGACGTCTTTTAAGGACCGTTTATACTTGAGCGCGTACTGCTGATAAGTAATGCTAACTACAGTTAGGCTCAACTCACACTGGCGCAGAGTCGAAGCGTCGCGACGCGTCATGTTTTTCGCCTATAGCATATTCATCTCTATTTTCACATTTTTAAGGTACAAATGTGTGTTATGCAAGTGTGGAGTCGCGCCGACCACACTGTATTCCGGGCGTACTAATGCGTGCGTCCTCGCGCGTCGACGCGCGTCTCCAGGCGTTGTAGTTGAAAAACAGGACGCGACGCGACGCTTTGACTCTGCGCCGGTGCGAATTGAGCCTTAACGTGGACAATCAGTTCGGAAACACGATTAGATTTAATTTCGGCGATATATCGATACAATTTAGCATGCCATTGTGTACCATAAACACACTACACTGCTCACACGTTGTGGTCTAAAAACGTTAAAAAGTTGTTCGTAAGTTCGTATTATGAGTTGCAAGTCTACGACACACGGCCATACTTCAAAAAAAGTTCGATATTTGATTTTTTTTGAACTTTGTTTGTTGAAGAGATCACTATCAATAACATTTTAAGTGTCAAGGCGGCGTATACCATTTGTACAGACCGACCTAGTGCAAACGCACTCGGCTATTTTCTACTACTTATCAGTCGCAACTCTCTATAACCCGGGATAAGAACCCCAAACACTTTGCACAAAAACAATGACATGTATAACATCTCAATATAATATTATAATCATATTATAGGGTTATTTAAAAAAAATAAAGCCACTTAAAAATTAACTAACGTTACAAAATAAGATTAAACAACATAATGATTTGTTCCCAATGCGAAAAAATATTTATATTAAATCATTAAAAAAAATCTAATAACATTCTAAACGGAATGTTTATTAATATCTAGATTCTCTTTGCAAATTGTCCCATCCTATTTCTGTACAAACTTACACAAAAATAACTTTTTAAGCTATCAACAAAATGTCAGGCGTAACACACAGATCCGTATACGTATTAAAAAAAGTTGTTCGATTTTTCAAACTTAGAAACTCGTTCTGAAATGCGGTCTGGTAGGGATGTTAACACGACGATAATTTATTTTTTTTACACATCGCTAGGTGTAAAACGTTATATCACACACATAAATGCACATAACGATTAATATATAATATTTTTAAGAATTAAATGCTAAAAAGACATCGAAAATTATGAACAGTTAAATAAAGGTGAAAGACATGCTATCGACTACTTTAAAATTTTGAATATAAAAATTTTTGTATTTTGTTTTTATGAGAGAGTGTTTTCGACATCTCGGCATACGGGATATGTATTATGTTACGAATTAGATATACTAGAGTCCAACTATCAAATTTAAATATATGACACAATATATTTTAGAGCTTGAATTAAGGTGATGTCGAAATGTCGAGCCCAGTCTTCCGAGGAATTCTATTTGCACATAGCTCGTGGTCACCGAAGAAAAATGTACGACATTATTTTAACTTGTGTATAATATATGTATATTTTAATTACATACACATTACAAAGACTTCTTAATTTTCATGAGGCGCACAATTACACGTAACTTACACTAAGTGTCGTATGATAATTTTATATCCAAATAGTTTTTACCTAAATTTATTCTGGGAGAGCGTATACATTATTTCATTTCGTACTTCAATAATATACTTTTGATTGAACACCAAAAAATTTCACAAATTTGAAGATATCAATATTTTTTGACGATCTTTGGGCTAATTACAATTTTAAAGTCGACAAGAATATAATAATGGTTATCCATATTTTTGTATAGTCGATAAAACATTTAAAACTTGGACCATGAAAAATAAGAATATATCTTCTTAAGATACAATAATAGTACATAAAATATATAAGTTTACTAGATGTATTTAATGTACGTACGTGTATATAATGATGGGGGTTGGGTCCCCGCAGGTCGTCAAACAAACCGCATTCGTAATACCTAAATATCACATTCAGTAATATGGAAATCCACGTGTTAGCTTAGACACAGTTTAGATTACTATTTTATACAAAATAATAATTGCACATAAGTCCAAACATGCTTCGTATACTTACGTCGAAGCCACCCGATCCCCACATCTAGTGCCTTTTCCTTCGCTAATCTTTTGCTAGAAAAGGACCGCAACACCAGCCAATAGCGCTAATAATTTCATTCAATATATTACCTATCTAATTATAAAAAACACCGCACAAAATCTGCAATAGTTCACTTAAAAATCGATAACATTTACACTCATAGCTAGCTTTATAATTAATTTGTTACATTGTTTTTTTTTCACTTAAATATATTTAAATAGTTAATTTTAATGTTAACTTTTGGTTGTCTTTTACTTAAACAAGGTCAAAAAGTGAGGCTCTCCGGATTAGCAAGAATTTTTTGACAACCCTGACGTCTTTAGTAATCTATATCCCTATTCCGATTTACCTCATTAGGGTTCCCAACCTATTTAAATAATTTATATTTCGTAATTTTTGAGAAGTCCTGGAATGAAAATGTTTTAAAAATCAACTTCAGACTTTAGTAATCGTATACAACGTGACCGAAAAATATTATTTTCAATATCATGAATGGAAATATAGGCCACTACGACGCCATCCAAAACCTTCTCAGGGTGCTAAACTCTACTGTGATATTGTAATATATAGTAAAGCTGTGGTACATTGAACTGGTTGTGATTTTAGGTAACTATTGTGATTATTTGGTGATTACAAAGTGATATTTACGGACATTCGATTTTTTAACACATCTGCATAATCTGTAAAATCAGTAAAGACGATTTAAAACGCTTCGTAAATGGTGATGTTTTTAAGTTTGTGTGTATTAGAAAATCAAATATCTTTACTTGTGTGAACTTTTGAAATTATACACGAGTGACAACTAAGACTGTTACTATAGGTATGAAATAGTTATGGTTGCATGAAATTTAATTTACTTTGAGTTACATAATAAAAAGCCAAGTTTATTGTCGCTACAACAGCACATATAAATCATGTCTCAATTCGGAAGATGGCTGCCATTTTTTGTGCCGCCCTTTTTGAATTTTTATTTAAATAACGATGTTTCCTTTGTTGCGGTTCGTCTTTAGTACAAAATTTGCAATGCTAGCTTGTTTGATTTACCTATTCAGTTATAGGTCCCAAGCATTCGAAGCCGCTTTTGACGGCTGGTGATAAAAATATATCACTTTTTGGAGCTATATGACGTAAATGTTTTAAAACATCTTCCTCATTGTATGAATGTATGAAGTCCTTAAAACGGTCTCTTGCACTACATGTATATGTGTTATAGAAACATCAAGACCCTATATCATGAAATAAAACATGGCAAGAAACGACACGAAATAGGTAATAAAGCTTTCGTGAATGCAGATTTATTTTCATGAAATAGGCTCTAATGTTGGCCTAGGCACAACGTTACTATTATTTACTGGATATGGATAAGTGTTGATCACGATTGGTGCTAGTTATACCGAGTCATTGTTAGCATCAAAACCTTGACATTTCGAGCCGCGCCCTCTCCAAACGGAATGTACTTTACATAATATTATCACAAAGGCTGAGGAGATCGGAACGTCTCAGAGTTGGCGCAACCATAGCAAACGCAATGCGCTGCAGAGCTTAAACCTGCTAGGCTGTCACACGCACAATATTACAATAAACTGACGGACGCTACTTACAAGTTTTTTTACACTTGCTGCAGTACATTGCGTCTATTGCACCATCCTAAACTAGCCTAACGGTGTTATCACTGGAAATAGAGCGGGTAGCTCTGCATGTAGCACTAGGCGCGATCGGGGGGCGCAGTGGGCGCGGGCGGGGGGGACAGCACGTCCTGTCCGGAAGGTGCAGGGGGAGTTGGTGTGCCGTTCCGCGGCCGCATTTTGTCGGCGCGGATTCTTTGCACCACCTCGCGAAGGTCGGCCGCCAGCTGATGATCTGAACTTTCGAGTCGAGGACGCCGCGCTGGAGGCGATCCATCTGGTTCTCCTGTCAATCGCCGTAGTAAACTCGAGGATTCTGTCATCGGCGGTCGAGGCTCCGTTGTTAATCTCTGCAGCAACGCTCCCGGCCTTTCGAGGCTCGACCGTATTATACCCTCGAGGAAACCATTCGATGGCGGAGGGGCTTCCTCGCGCAATCGACGCATCATTTGCGAAGCGTAGAGTTCTGGTGTGGGCGGTGGAGCAAACTGTGCGCCCGGCCAGAAGGGATATCCGGGTGGATATCCCGGAGTGTCAGGTCCATTCATGCCGTTTGTAAAGGGCTTCGTAGGCGGTTTCGGAGGCTGCGGTTTCGGTGGTTGCGGTTTCACCTCCTGTTGAGGTTTCGGCTCTCGCTTCCTAGGCCGCATCAGATGTCGCTCCTTCACCTTGTATTCCAGAGTCGAGTGAGGAACTCCGTAATACGAGCCAGCTCTGTGCACAGACATCTCACCCCTCTGTACAGCTTTGACGGCTTCAACAAGGCTATCCCTGTCGTAGTTTCTGTACTTCCCTCTTTTGGGTCGCGTTCCTTTGCCGCCAGCTGCTGGTTGACCATTGTTGTTCGCCTGCGATTTGGAATTGCTTGGAACGGGATGGTGGTAGCTCCTGGTATCTGGCGGTGTTTTGATAACAGACACGTGTCTATCAGGTCTCATGAAAGAGAGATCAGGCTGTGGTCTATCCATGGGCCGGTCTATTTGGAATTTCTGGCTGATACTTTTGGCGATGACATCGCTCAGTGAGGTGAAGAGGTGTTGCGATGATGGTGCGTCCGCGTAGACTGATGGTGGAAGAAGGAGTTGTGAAGGAGGATTAAGAGGAGGCTGTGGGGGAATAAGAGGGGTGATTGGTGTTACCGGTGTTATGGGTGTCGCAGGAGAAGGCGATTTCTCATCTGGAGGTGGGAAGGTTGGTATTTTGAGGATGACTGAAGGCGGGGTATCATCGGCGCGTTCGGGATCGCTGTCGGCTTCAGAGTCGTGGTGGTCGGAGATAAGACCGAATTTGTTGACCTTGTTGCGGAGTGTGGAGCGGGGGATGCCGTAGATCACTGCCGCCCGACGTGTGCCCAGTCGTCCTGACTGGATGTCTCTCAAGGCTGACTGTAGTTCATCATCCGTGTAAGCTCGCTTTGCCGCACTGTTGCTGCTGCTCTCCAACATGCCACGTTTCGCTCTGCAACAAATTGTAATGGTATATAGTTTGTTAGACACTGATTTATTCACAATATTTTTTCTTTCTTCCTAAATAATTTATTTCTCATAATTGCCACTCTTAGCAAGCGAGTAGGCCATCAAATCAAAGCTGCAATCTAATGCAGTAGCGAGCAGACCCATTTGCCTACCCCCAACATGTATTACTCATCATTGATACCTATATTAACATAGATGACAACTACATAAAGTTTTGATAAATATTATAACTAGTTCTATGGTTTTAGTGATTGTTATACATAAGAAATGAAACTATTTTGTTCGGATTTAAATATCGTATATTTGTATGACAATCAGCGGTGACCACGGAGCCTGTAAAGGGACCGATACGTTGATCTGTTTGAAAAAACAAGTATTTCTTATAATAACTAGTATCCCACATAGCATCTTTTATATAGGTACAGTACTATATATCCAAAGCGTCTATGTAGGAATGGCACAAGGGACAAAAGGTTAACGAACCGATTGAGAACCGAGTAGCTAACCGTAAGATTAAAATGCATTTCTTATTTTTATTTGTATTTTTAAATTTATTTCTATAATTTAAGAGGATTATTCTCTTTGTACGTAGTCGTACAAATTAAGTTTCATCCTATTTAGAAAATAATTAAGAAATTAAACGTTGATACGATATGTAAAAGTCGTAGTTGACCCTGTTACATTATTTCTTCTAAATCTTGTAAAATAGCATATCAAATGGCCCAACTTTTATGCATTTTTTAAATAAAGGCCATTAAAAGCAATATAATATTCTAAAATATTTTCAAAACTACAACCCTAGAAAAAAATAATAAATTGCTTATAATAATCAGACATGTAGCACATTAACAGAGTAAAAGTCAAATGCCTACCAGGCCCGCTGGCCACGTGGTTTGAGACGGTCATATCAAGGCAATAACAATAATAATAAAGAGTTTTTGTTGATATAAACAGGTACAGGGTCAATAGCAAATCAAGCTTGTCACTCAATTTTAAATACAACTCTATATTTATTGCGATAAGAAGATGTAAACTGTAAAGTGTCAAGCTTGGATTGCCGTTGACTGTAATTATTCACATCTTATATCCCATAGTCCCATGTGCCTGTAATTTCACCAGAATCTTTACCCTTCAAAACCGAAACACAGTAATGCTGACATTACTTGCCGGCTTGGTGGTAGAAATAGGTAAGGTGACAGTACTTCCCTGGACGAACTCTTTCATAAGGAGCTCTACTGCTACTACGTCCTTAAGTCGTCCATATGTTCTTGCCTTGGCAGCTTAATGGATTGGGCTAGCGTCTCTCGAGCAGAGGCCGTGGGTTTGTATCCGGGCTCGATCCAAGGTATTCGGAATTCGAAATTTATATTACGAAAACATAATGATAAAACCTGCACTTCGAAGAAGCTTCGCAACCCTTGGAAAACGTGTGAAGTCCATAACCCGATTTGGGTTAGCATGGCGGACTATGGTCTACACCTTCACCTAAGAAGAAATCCGTGACCAGGCAGTGGGATGTATAAATGGATTGGTGTTGATGATGTTCATAGTAGTGGACGCCAAAGTTGTTCGACTAATTCTTTACGATTAGAACTGGCAAGTTTCCTTTGCTTTTACTCGAATGAAATGCAAACTCTATAATCTGTCAAATAGAATGCGTATTTCGAAACAGAAAGGAGATAGCAAAAGCGAAATATTTGCCTACAACCGATAAGAACCTTTCAGCTGCACAGACGTTGCACTCTGAGTGAAAAATGCACATATTTACCGACGCAATTCGTTCTTACTGACTCATATTATATAGCAAAAAACAGATACAGCTCGGTACTAGCTTTCATCACTTGTACTATGGGTTCAATAACTCAAGAGGCAATGTTTTTATACACTCATAGCCCCGCACTGGGGAAACCCTGTATCGCGAGTGCCATGGACACACACACACGTAGGTAGACAACCACAAATGACACCCAAACTCACGAGATAAATAAATGTAGGTCATACAAATATTTCTTCCGGCCCGGGAATCGAACGCGGGACCTCTGCGTGGCAGCATGGTGGCCGTTCAGCTACAGAGGCAGTTTATTTAAGTGCTAATCGCGATACAAGGCATCGTAGTCGGGTACATCCAGTGCTTTTTTAGTGACAAAGATCTGAGGGACACAGCTGTATTGCGCCTGCGACGTAAGTTGACAAGTCCCATGTGCCTGTAATTTCACCAGCACCATAATGCTCTGGCCACACAGAGGCGACCGAGGAAGCATTACAGTGTGGCAGGCAGGGTTATGTGAACTCGCACATTACAAAAATTCCCGCGGAACGTAGTAATGCTCACATTACTGCTTGGTGGCAGAAATAATAATAATAATAACGCACATACTCAACATAGCCCCGCACTAGGGAAACCCTGTGTCGCGGTTGCCATGGACATACACATAGACAACCACAACTTACACCTAAACTCACGAGAGAAATAAATGTAGGCCATACACATACTTCTCCCGGCCTGGGAATCGTACCCAGGAGGTCCTGGGTAACCGTTCGGCCACGGAGACAGTAATAGTATAGTAAGTAGGTAAGCTGGCAGTGGTTCCCTAGACAATTTCTTTGAAGCTACTGCTACATTGCTCGTCTTGTTAGCGGTCAACTGTGTCTCTCATTCAATCTGCTTCTAGAACGAAAAAACTTTTTATCTAGGACGAATGCTTTTATAGTATTAAAGAAATGATCTAATACTATAAATTATCTATCAAACAGTATACTGTATTTAAACCATTGTGGTACTTAAATAGTGGGCATAGAAACAAAAAACTTAAGAGCGCGTATTTTTAAAAACTCCAAAACCATTTGAACCGAAACTAAAGTCTTGTAAGTAACAGTCCCATTATAAACCCATCTTTATAACAACCCTCCCGCGAATGTACAGCAAATAAATTCCAACCTTATCACAAACGCGCTAATGTTCAAACACGTTTGCATCGTGTCCCTTCTTCGATTTCATCTTATAAACTTTCTTATTTTTCTGAACTACTGTTGTTCAAGTAAAGGTTCTAAAGAATGAGTGTTAAGATGCATTTTAGCGTGTTATGCGTGTAGGATGCAAGGGCATTGCACCGGCTATCGGGGTATTTTTATTTGTTTTGGCGCGACCTAGATCGCAGAATGAATTTATTCAGCTATCGATTGGTGATATCTGCTGGAATGAAGATATTGTCCACTAGTTTTTAAACATTATTATTATAGGGGTGCATAGGATGAATGTACTTAACAAGTACTTATTTTGGAAGAGTTTTGTCGAGTCGAAACGTTGGGTGTATAGTTTGAACAACTCGCAACCTGGGTGTAATAAGGTCACATCTGCAAAATGATAATTTTTCGGTAGAGATGTTTGAAGATTATACGAACGAAATTAGTCGATAATTTTTATTTTTAAATAGGAGACAAGAAAATTTCACATATTTTATACGTAATTTGTTTCACTTTTGACGTAATGACCACATGTGGCTTTATAATAATAATAATGATGAAGAATTTATTTCGGAATCTTGTCCATAGTAACTAATTCTCCTAGAACTAGTTTTAGTAGGCTTGAAAATAAAACAAAATGAAAATTGTATGTTTTTATATCCACGATCAGGAGTCCGTTGGTGCTACCGCGGAGGCGTAGCGTTTTCTCAATAAAGCATAGTAGAAATCCGCGTGGAGGCACGCAAGCATCCTTGAAGCACTGCAACGTCACGGCAGCCCCAACAGAACCCTGAACGCGTTTTTATACTGGACCCGTATTATACCATTTATTATACCAAATGTACGAATTCTACTTATTTTTATGAATCGAAGATGAGTTAATTAAGGGTAGATAAGACTACAGAATTGCATAAACATGCTTCTTTCGTATACTTGTGAAAGAGTTCGTCCAGGGTAGTACTGCAACCTTACTATATATTTCTGCCGTCAGCTGTAATGTGAGCATTACTGCGTTCCGGTTTTCAAGGGTAAGGGTGCTGGTGAAATTACGGGCACATGGGACTTGTCAACTTATGTCTCAGGGTGACGGGCGCAATGGCAGTGCGCCTCAGATCTTTGCAATTTAAAGCCCTGAGTGGCACTGCGATTGTTATGGATAGGCGTGTCGCTTATCACCAGGTGCACGGCTTGTTCGCCCCGTCACTTGGTATTATAAAAAAAAAAACTCTCTTTAATACTTGGTACTTTCGATAGTCGCGAACAATTTAACGATTATTGCTTTAAGACATTATTCACGTCTCATCAGAATTACTAGAAGTTTAGTACTAATAAATAGGTATATTAAAATCACAAGAATTTGATTTGAAAAATTTAGTTCTCTAAACAAATTGATACCTTATACGATATATGTACAAAAGTAGAAATAGATATATCTGGCCCAAAGTTACCCTCTACATCACATTAAGATGGGATTTACGAATTTGGGAGTATTAACTAAGGAAAAACTAGCGTTTAAGAATTAGGCGTTTAGAATTAAGTCAAAACTGTACAAATGTACAATTGCACATAAAACAATTATTTAACGATTTCGATGGCCCAACGGATCGAACTGTAGGCGCTGGATGAGTGGCTCCTGTGTTCGATGCCCGATAAGGCCAATTTGGGAAATGAGCTTTTCTGAATTGCTTCCAGTGTGCGTGTTTTGGGTAGTGCCATGAAGTGAATTCCTTTGTTCTGGTTTTCACAGTACAGGGAATTTCTTAATTTAAGACCGTCTCATTAGTGTAGTTATCTGGCACATTATTATTATTTATTGAAATTGCAGAATATATAGCATATAACAATATAAAAAGCAAAGAGACTTATTAACAACAATTCTCTTGTGGAGTCGAAGCTACAAAATCTTGACCATCGCAGAAAAGTAGCCTGCTTTTCGGTTTTCTATCGAATACATTTCGGGGAGTGTATGCAGAAACTTTTTAATTTAGTTCCACCATCATAGTTCCTCCTTCGGTCGAC